GGTCGAGGCTTTTCCGTTAAAAAATAGTAGGGCTAAGATAGTGGCGGAAGTTTTTGTTTATGAAATAGTTTCTAGGCATGGCGTGCCATGCGAATTGCATACTGATCAGGGAAGAAATTTCGAATTGAAAGTTTTTCAGGAAATTATTCGTTTATTGGGAATTAAGAAGACTAGAACAACTGCCTTACACTCCCAGTCCAATGGTCAGGTTGAACGCCAGCATCAGACAATTTTGAATTATCTGTCAAAATTTGTGGCAGAAAATCAAAGGGACTGGGATAAATGGATTCCTTTGTGCATGTTAGCTTGTCGGTCGTCAAGGCATGAGACTACAGGTTCTACTCCTGCGGAATTGTATTTTGGTCGGGAACTTCGGCTTCCCATGGATTTATTGCGAGGAAATCCACCTGAAATTAGGAGATTAGTAACGTAAGGGAATGTTATACTTGGAAATTCAGAGAAAGTCTGGATGTGATCCATCGCAGTGCGAGAGAATACTTGAATCTAAAATCTTTGCGAGTAAAGGATTGCTATGATCAGAAAGCTAAGCGGATTTATTTCAAAATAGGACAAAATGTTTGGTTATTTAATCCTCAAAGAAGGAAAGGAAGGGCCCCGAAATTACAGAATAATTGGTTGGGGCCTTATAAGATTGTCAGGCAGCTTAGTGAGGTAGTTTTTGGAATTCGCAAATCGGCTAGACATAGGCAAAAGGTTGTTTATTCAAATAGACTAGCTCCATTTTTGGAAAGATAAACTCTTAATTCTATTTTTTTTTCTTGCCAGGATAAAGTCTTGGGTGCTTCTAAAGTTTTGGTGTGGTATTGACATTCGACATTCGAAGAGGAAAATGGGATTGGAAATTAAGCTGAAAATTTCCAGTTTCCCGGAATATGCTTGTTAGTTGTTCAATGGAAAAAGACTGTCTCGTTCGCGGTTTTTTTTGGGCCCCGTGGTTCTTCCGCGGGACTGAGGGCAAATGCCGAGACGGGGACAAAAAGAAATCCTTTAAGGATGTTAGAGACCACAGGGAAGTTATACTCCCCCCCTTTTTGTCCGAAGACTTCGTCAATATTGGAAGGACGAAAGAAGAGACTCGGACGGCGTTCAAGGAGGGCTAGCAGTTCTTAGGCTTTGAAGGAAACCGGAACAAGAAGACTGGCCCAAAAGATCCTGGAGACTGATCATCTCCTAGAGGACGGGGATAAAGATGATGTTCTGAAGAATCAAGATCCTCAGAATCCTTGATTGAGATCAGGAATTCATGGAGTCCGGTAACCTATAGCAGCAGCTCAGGGTAGGACAAGAGTCATAAAGATCTCTGGAGTCAAGGAAGAGGATGACATTGCCTAAGAGAATTGTCGGGACGACAATTTGAAGAGACGGAGAGCAGTGTTACGGCCGTATATACGTCTTGCCGAACGTGGAATGTGTCGGCGCTCATCTTAGCAACCGTTATTACGGTTGTTGTTATTATGGACAGCAAGGGTATCTTTCTGTGGAGCGATCGAGCGGTTCGGTCGAATTACGTTAAGAGTTTTCTCTGAATAATTGTTCTCGTTGGCACACCTTGTACAAAGCTTTGTTTATATTAAAGAGTTCTTGTTATTTGTTCACGAGAGTGTTGCTTACTATTTATGCGGGTGATCGTGAGTGAGAGGCAAACGACGCTTGGGCGTAACAATATGATTGAAAGTCATACTTGCTAATATTTATCGAAATCGAAAACGTAAATCTCCACAGACAATGGTCCACAGGCTGGTGCACTAATTTTTGCTGTGCTAAAAGTCCTAGATTCCGATTTGTCCAATTTTGCGAATTAACAAAATGTATTAATCTTTTTCTATTAGGTGCGCAACTAAGTTCTCGCTGTTTTTTTTTATGAAAATGCAACTTTATTGTGAAAAAATGATTACAAATGAATCATTCAAAATATTGCCCATCGCTAGCGACAACTTTTTCCCATCTTTCTGGCAGAGCTCGAATACCGTCACGGTAGAAGTGTTCGTCTTTTGAGGCTATCCACGAATCAAGCCATTTTGAGATGTCTTCATATGAGCGGAACTGCTGATTAGCCAGACCATGTGCCATCGAACGGAACAAGTAATAATCGGACGGCGCAATATCTGGGGAATATGGCGGGTGGGGTAGGACTTCCCATTTGAGCGTTTCTAAGTAGGTTTTAACGGGTTTGGCAACGTGAGGCCGAGCGTTGTCATGCTGTAGAATCACTTTTTCGTGCCTCTGCTCGTATTGTGGCCGCTTTTCGAGCAGTGCTCGGCTCAATCGCATCAATTGAGTTCGATACCGTTCCCCAGTGATGGTTTCGTTCGGTTTCAACAGCTCATAATAAATAACATCGCCATGGTCCCACCAAATACACAGCAAAACCTTCGCAGCGTGAATATTCGGCCGAGCCGACGACGTAGAAGCATGACCGGGCAGTCCCCATAATTTTGTTCTCTTTGGGTTGCTGTAATGAATCCATTTTTCATCACCCATAACGATGCGATGAAGAAAACCCTTCCTTTTTTGCCGCTGGAGCAGTTGTTCACAGGCGAAAAAACGACGCTCAACGTCTCTTGGCTTCAAATCATAAGGAACCCAAGTTCCTTGTTTTTTAATCATTCCCAACGCATGCAATCGCTTGGAAATGGCATGGCGGGTAATTCCTAATGCTGAAGCAAGCTCTTTTTGCGTTTGGCACGGATCCTCATCGAGCAATGCCTCCAATTCAGCATCTTCGAAGGTTTTTGGCCTTCCTTCACGCGAACGGTCGTCAACATCGAAATCACCGTCTTTGAAGCGACGGAACCAATCACGGCACGTTGTTTCACTTAGAGCAGCATCTCCGTAAACTTTTTGAAGTTCTTGATGCGCTTCAGCCGCCGTTTTCTTCGAATGAAAGAAGAAAAGCAACACTTCCCGCAAATGACGATTATTTGGCACAAAATCAGACATTTTCACACAACCAAAAGTATATGACGCAAAAACAAAATCACTAATGTGTCAAAGCGGTTTTGTAACGCCGGTGCCTCCGCGGTTCGATTTTCTTTATCGATCCGACCCTGCGTTGCGACCGTTGGCAGCGAATCGCGCGCAGAAATTTTATTAGGAGAAGGTGATCTTGGTGAATAATTGAAGTCGGTCGGTGTTTGGAGACAGTGACGCTTTATTTTATTGCTTCAGCATGTAATGACCGCATGTTATTGCGCGAGGTTCCCACTGTTTGGGTGCCGTCTCGACGCGCGGCTTTGTTTCTTCGCTTCTGCTCGCCGTCTCTGGGAGCGGTCGTATTTACGTGAAGGTGGTTTTGTCTAATGCGTGATTCTCAACGTATCAGCAGTAATTATTTTAATACATAGGATTTACAGGTAATGGACAAGAGAGAAAAAAAAAAGAAAAATTCGCTGTCGGAGGGTCCGGGCGTCAGCAGAAATAGAGATTCCGTGCGGGCGTCGTCGCAGCCTTTAGTCGGCTTTTAAAGGCCGAGTCTTCGTCTCGTCTGACTGTCGGTGTATAGAAGAAAGTGCGCAAAAACGCGTCGCGTCGAACCGCGTTATCGCTTTGTGGTGCGCGCACAATAGTTATGCCGGGCGTCGGGCGTAAGGCTCACGCTTGTTTTTCGACACGCCGTAATTATTCGCTTTGTTTCTTCGCGTTATTGACGACGGGAGAGATTCGCGATGCCTATCGGGCTTGATCCCCGGTTTTATTCGCCGCGGTCGATTTTTGGTCGGCGCGAAGCGCTTTTCTGATGGGGTTACTCCGGGCCGGCGGCCGCGCCGGACAGTCGGTAGGTGTGGGCGACGACTCTCTCTGCCCTTGTATCCTTACGTGCTCTGAGTCCTATAGGAAGTAGAGAGGGAGAAACAAAAGAAAGATATTTATGAGAGCGTTCCGGAGAACACACCGGAGTAACGGCAAACTCGCCGTTCGATCTCTGAATCGCGAAGACGGTACAAAATAAGATCGTTCCGGTGAATACACCGGAGCGACGGCAAACGCGCCGTTCGATCTTTATATCGCAAAGACGGCACAGAGCAAGATCGTTTCGGTGAACACACCGGAGCGACGGCAAACTCGCCGTCCGATCTTTATATCGCAAAGACGGCACAAAATAAGTTCGTTCCGGTGAACACACTGGAGCGACGGCAAACTCGCCGTTCGATCTTTATATCGCAAAGACGGCACAAAATAAGATCGTTCCCGTGAACACACTGGAGCGACGGCAAACTCGCCGTCCGACCTTTATATCGCAAAGACGGCACAGAGTAAGATCGTTTCGGTGAACACACCGGAGCGACGGCAAACTCGCCGTCCGATTTTTATATCGCAAACACGGCACAAAATAAGATCGTTCCGGTGAACACACCGGAGCGACGGCAAACTCGCCGTCCGAACTTATTACCGCAAAGACAGCACAGAACAAGATCGTTCCAGTGAACACACTGGACCGACGGCAAACTCGCCGTTCGATCTTTATATCGCAAAGAACAAGGAGTAATCGCGGATGCCGACAGCTGCGGACTGGTAGATTACTTACTCGCACTCTCGATTTTTCTGGATGCTTTCTGCGGGCTGCTTCGAAGACTCGTCAAAGACTGCTTGAACTTGTCCCCAAGACTCGACTCCCCCAAGACAAGAACTGTCGGGTTTATATATCCGTCATTTTCTGTCTTCAGTTTCTTTCGTTTATTAATCCGAATTTGATCGAGATTAATCGTGAGTATGCGACGTTCGCCGAGGATCGTTTTGGCGGCGTCGCGAGTTCGGCTCGGTGACCGATCATTCCCGAGCGTTGCTGCCGGGTCTTCGGCCAGCCTCGGGTGAGCGCGTTGAAAGGCGCGGTAAGAGCGCGGGTCGGGGGTGTGTGCGCTCAGCTGACTGCCGCGTGATGTTCAGCGGCAGTCAGCGTAACGACACATTTGCCGGTATGTGTCGTTACATTATCCCCCACTTTTTCTTCCCCGATGTTAGGGGACGGCTAATCTTCTCCTTTAGCCGATGCGGTTAGCATAGCGTAGCTGTCCTTGCCTGTTGAACCGCAGGCTCCAGCGTCCTTCCAGGGTACGGAGGCGGTACTTCCGGGACACCTTTACCGCAAAGTACGGCACGTGCCACAGCTCTCCGGTTGGTAGGAGGATCGGTACCAGTGGTGGCATCGCGGGCCCTTGCATCGGTGGTTGCTTGATCGACAGGACCTCGGCTTGCGGTGTTGGCGGGACCCGAACTACGCGCACTTTCCCGTTGAAGGGCTCGCTGGCCCGTATGGACGGCCCGGCCCAGACGACGGGCATTACTTCCGGTTCGTCGTTGTTGAGTGCCGGCATACTCGGTGCTGTGGTGGTTGGCGGCGTACTGGTGGGCCCGTCCAAGGTGATGACGGGGATGAGATCCTCCGGTACAGCTGGTCCAGTTGGTGGGCCGGTGGGTGGTCCGTGAAACCCGCGTTGGTCGGCAGCGGTGGATCGGCGCGCTAGATTCACTAGCCTGGGAGGTGCTGGTCTAATTTTAGGCCCCTTCTTGGGCCTACGAGTGCTCCCGGGTAGTCGAGGCGGCGGCGGTTTCGGCTGACCGCCCTTCACTGCGGGTGCGGACCCCGGTGTTTCCGACGTGGTCTTGCTGCCTGGTGCTGCTGGTTTCCCGGGTGGGCGGGAGAGTGGTGCTAATGGCGGTGGTTCGCTGCCCAAGGCCGACAGTGATCCTAGGCCCGGGGTACGGCTGCTGTCGGTAGATGCGCTCGAAAAGTCCGTGGTGCTGTGGCTGTCCGAGGACGGTGCGGTATCGGCGCAGGCGGTTTCGGCGGTTTGGGCTACGCGCTGCCATACTCGGGCGGCGTCGTCGTCCGTTCGCAGCAGGATCTCAGCGAGCTTCTCAATGTAATTGTCGAGTTCCATGTCTGAATATCGACTTTCGGTGGATTCGATTCTTTCGGCTTTTATAGTCGTTTGTCGGCCGTCGATTCTTTATTTCGTAATACCGGTTGGTAGTCTCGTGATTTACTTTGTATCCTTTGTTATTACGGTCGTGATACTGTTGATTTCCTTGCCTTTGTTGTTAGGGACGAGGCGCAAGTCGTCCACGTGAATGTTGCGGTAATATTTACCTTGGTTGTCTCGTAAATCTAGGATTACCGGCGAACGAATTTTCCTCACTGTTAGAGGGCCGACATATTTCGGAGCCAGTTTCGCGTTGAATGCCTTCGTTTTATTGGATTGCGGGTGTTCCTTTTTCCAAACGATGTCTCCCAGTTGTGGCCGCCAAGCTCTTCTCCGTAAGTTATAGCGGGTACGGTACCATAACAGGGGATCTCCCCGAAGCATTTCGGGTATCCCCCAGAACAATTGTCGGTCGAGAGCCCATAGCATATCCGAAGTTCGTCGATACGCTCCAGGAAGTTGAGGGGATCTTTTCCCGTAAATTTGCAATCCCATTTGTGGATTTCATGGATAGCTTCGGCGTCGGTAGGTGCTTTCGTGGCCAAGTCCCAGCCGGGGATATGCTCCTCCTCGGTACTGGCTGCACTTGGCACGCGGGGTGGGCTCAGCACCCGGCGCTCCGTGCTCTGGGTCACGAATAGGCCGGGGTTTTCGGTGACAAAACGGCGGAGGCGTCGCCGCAAGTCATCTATCGTGCCGCTCGTATCTAGTTCGTACTGGCCGAGCCGGTGGCTAATTTCTGCCTTATTCAATTCCTGTATCCACGCTCGAGGTGCGGAATTCATTCTGGGTCCGGTGGTCTCTCGGTATAACCTCTATCCCTTCTCCTAATTGCCGGATCCTGGCAGGATCGCCATGTAACGCCGATGCCTCCGTGGTTCGATTTTCTTTATCGATCCGACCCTGCGTTGCGACCTTGAGCCCCCAGTGGAGGGCTATCACTTCACCGTGCTGACTGATCACCAATCACTAAAATGGTTACGAAGGCTCGAGTCACCATCAGGCCGACTAGGACGATGGAAGTTCGAACTACAACAATATGACTTCGAGATTCGATATCGCCGTGGAACCAACAACCAGGTGGCAGACGCGCTGTCCCGCGAGCCAGAAATAGCCACCGTAGAGGCGAAGCTAACCTGCCCCTGGTACACAAATCTGAAGAAGCAGATACGCAAGAATCCCGCCGACCATCCCGACTATCTAATACGCGACAACACCGTCTACCGCCACTTCTTGCACAGCTTGGACTTCCGGGAACTTCCAGCCGCCTCTCAGTGGAAGAGGTGCCTCCCTACAGACCAATGCCCGGCAGTGTTACACCGAATGCACGACGATCCCGCGGCAGGGCATCTCGGCATCACGAAGACCATGACCCAAGTCGCCGAGCAATACTATTGGCCCGCGACATTGCCAAATACGTACGTGAGTGCAAGACCTGCTGGGCTCACAAGGCGGACCAGCAAAAACCCCCGGGGCTTTTGCATGCTACACACGTGAGTCGGCCCTGGGAACAAGTGGCAATCGATCTAGTAGGGCCCTTGCCACGCTCGAGGCAAGGCCATACATGGCTCTTAACCATGCAAGATCGATTCACGAAGTGGCTCGAGACGAAAGCCTTGCGACAGGCCACCGGCCCGGTCATCGTAGCTAGCCTCCTCGATGCCATCATGTACCGGCATGGGTGCCCGGACACAATAATCTCGGACAATGGCCCGCAATTTCTGTCCGAGGATTTCGCCAAATTGTGCAAGGACTTCGGAATCCGCCACCGCACCACACCGATCTATACACCGCAGTGCAATCCGGTGGAACGAACCAATCGCACGATAAAAACCATGATAGCCCAGTACGTGGACAAGCAGCACCGACGCTGGGACGAGAATTTACCGGCCTTACGCTTCGCCTATAATACTGCCCGACATGACGCTACCGGCTTTAGCCCGGCCTTCCTCAATCACGGGCAAGAACTGGCCCGATCGCATCTCGATGACCGAGGAGGCCTATCGCCGGCCCCGCCGCCAACGACCACTGCCAAAATTTTGACCGAAACCTACGAACTGGTTAAAGTGCATCTCGCTCAAGCCTTTCAAAAACAAGAGCCCCGCTATAACTTACGGAGAAGAGCTTGGCGGCCACAACTGGGAGACATCGTTTGGAAAAAGGAACACCCGCAATCCAATAAAACGAAGGCATTCAACGCTAAACTGGCTCCGAAATATGTCGGCCCTCTAACAGTGAGGAAAATTCGTTCGCCGGTAATCCTAGATTTACGAGACAACCAAGGTAAATATTACCGCAACATTCACGTGCACGACTTGCGCCTCATCCCCAACAACAAAGGCAAGGAAATCAACAGTATCACGACCGTAATAACGAAGGATACAAAGTAAATCACGAGACTACCAACCGGTATTACGAAATAAAGAATCGACGGCCGACAAACGACTATAAAAGCCGAAAGAACCGAATCCACCGAAAGTCGATATTCAGACATTGAACTCGACAATTACATTGAGGAGCTCGCTGAGATCCTGCTGCGAACGGACGACGACGCCGCCCGAGTATGGCAGCGCGTAGCCCAAACCGCCGAAAACGCCTACGCCAACACCGCACCGTCCTCGGACAGCCACAGCACCACGGACTTTTCGAGCGCATCTACCGACAGCAGCCGTACCCCGGGCCTAGGATCACTGTCGGCCTTGGGCAGCGAACCACCGCCCTTAGCACCACTCTCCCGCCCACCCGGGAAACCAGCAGCACCAGGCAGCAAGACCACGTCGGAAACACCGGGGTCCGCACCCGCAGTGAAGGGCGGTCAGCCGAAATCGCCGCCGTCTCGACTACCGGGAGCACTCGTAGGCCCAAGAAGGGGCCTAAAATTAGACCAGCACCTCCCGGGCTAGTGAATCTAGCGCGCCGATCCACCGCTGCCGACCAACGCGGGGTTCACGGACCACCCACCGGCCCACCAACTGGACCAGCCGTACCGGAGGATCTCATCCCCGTCATCACCTTGGACGGGCCCACCAGTACGCCGCCAACCACCACAGCACCGAGTATGCCGGCACTCAACAACGACGAACCGGAAGTAATGCCCGTCGTCCGGGCCGGGCCGTCCATACGGGCCAGCGAGCCCTTCAACGGGAAAGTGCGCGTAGTTCGAGTCCCGCCAACACCGCAAGCCGAGGTCCTGCCGATCAGGCAACCACCGATGCAAGGGCCCGCGATGCCACCACCGGTACCGATCCTCCTACCAACCGGAGAGCTGTGGCACGTGCCGTACTTTGCGGTAAAGATGTCCCGGAAGTACCGCCTCCGCACCCTGGAAGGACGCTGGAGCCTGCGGTTCAACAGGCAAGGACAGCTACGCTATGGCATCTACGCTAACCGCATCGGCTAAAGGAGAAGATTAGCCGTCCCCTAACATCGGGGAAGAAAAAGGGGGGGTTAATGTAACGATACATACCGGCACATGTGTCGTTACGCTGACTGCCTCTGAACATCACGCGGCAGTCAGCTGAGCGCACACCCCCCCCCGACCCGCGCTCTCACCGCGCCTTTCAACGCGCTCACCCGAGGCTGGCCGAAGACCCGGCAGCAACGCTCGGGAATGATCGGCCACCGAGCCGAACTCGCGACGCCGCCAAAACGATCCTCGGCGAACGTCGCATACTCACGATTAATCTCGATCAAATTCGGATTAATAAACGAAAGAAACTGAAGACAGAAAATGACAGATATATAAACCCGACAGTTCTTGTCTTGGGGGAGTCGAGTCTTGGGGACAAGCTCAAGCAGTCTTTGACGAGTCTTCGAAGCAGCCCGCAGAAAGCATCCAGAAAAATCGAGAGTGCGAGTAAGTTATCTACCAGGCCGCAGCCGTCGGCATCCGCGATTACTCCTTGTTCTTTGCGATATAAAGATCGAACGGCGAGTTTACCGTCGCTCCAGTGTGTTCACCGGAACGATCTTGTTCTGTGCTGTCTTTGCGATATAAAGATCGGACGGCGAGTTTGCCGTCGCTCCGGTGTGTTCACCGGAACGATCTTATTTTGTGCCGTGTTTGCGATATAAAAATCGGACGGCGAGTTTGCCGTCGCTCCGGTGTGTTCACCGAAACGATCTTGCTCTGTGCCGTCTTTGCGATATAAAGGTCGGACGGCGAGTTTGCCGTCGCTCCAGTGTGTTCACGGGAACGATCTTATTTTGTGCCGTCTTTGCGATATAAAGATCGAACGGCGAGATTGCCGTCGCTCCAGTGTGTTCACCGGAACGAACTTATTTTGTGCCGTCTTTGCGATATAAAGATCGGACGGCGAGTTTGCCGTCGCTCCGGTGTGTTCACCGAAACGATCTTGCTCTGTGCCGTCTTTGCGATATAAAGATCGGACGGCGAGTTTGCCGTCGCTCAGATGTATTCACCGGAACGATCTTATTTTGTACCGTCTTCGCGATTCAGAGATCGAACGGCGAGTTTGCCGTTACTCCAGTGTGTTCTCCGGAACGCTCTCATAAATATCTTTCTTTTGTTTCTCCCTCTCTACTTCCTATAGGACTCAGAGCACTTAAGGATACAAGGGCAGAGGGAGTCGTCGCCCACACCTACCGACTGTCCGGCGCGGTCGCCGGCCCGGAGTAACCCCATCAGAAAAGCGCTTCGCGCCGACCAAAAATCGACCGCGGCGAATAAAACCGGGGATCAAGCCCGATAGGCATCGCGAATCTCTCCCGTCGTCAATAACGCGAAGAAACAAAGCGAATAATTACGGCGTGTCGAAAAACAAGCGTGAGCCTTACGCCCGACGCCCGGCAGAACTATTGTGCGCGCACCACAAAGCGATAACGCGGCTCGACGCGACGCGTTTTTGCGCACTTTCTTCTATACACCGACAGTCAGACGAGACGAAGACTCGGCCTTTAAAAGCCGACTAAAGGCTGCGACGACGCCCGCACGGAAT